GGACAGGGTGGGGGAAGGACTGAGCTGCTTTATTGAGTCTGCAGGGCAAAGTTTTGGTAGTAGGGCATTACTGGCAACAGGGATGGCTTCTGTGAGAAGCTGCTCACCACTACCAGCAGAGCCAATGCCAGATGCCTCCAGGATGGACACGCCTCTGGCCATGTTTTTAGCCCTTTTGTGGAGAGCTGCTGCCTGTGGTATGAACTCACACTGGAGAAGTTCATGAAGAATTGTCTCCTGTGGGAAAGACCCCATGGTGCAGCAAGGGAAAGACTCTTCGCCCTGAGCAGTGGCAGGAAACAACATGTGATGAACTGACCAAAACCCTCATTCCACATCTCCCTGAGCTGCTGTGGGGAAAGAAGTAGAGCACAGGTAGATAGAGGGTGAGGGGAAGTTGTTTTCAAGGTTTGTTTCACTTCTCTCATTATCCTGCTCTCGTTTTGATGGTAATAAATTCAATTTATATCCCCAAATCCAGTCTGATTTGACCATCATTGTAATCAGTGGATGATCTCTCCCTATCCTTATATCAGCTAATTGATCTTTTATTATATTTTCTCTACCTTGTCCACTTGATGAGGGGAATGATAGAGAGACTTTGTGGGCATCTGGCATCCAGACAAGGTCAATCCACCAGAGCTGTGGTAGATATTTAGAAGCCAAAGAGGTGTATTTTTTTAAAAAAGGGGAAGTTAGGGTCTCCTTCCTGTTTTCCACATCTCACTGAGGCATCAAGAAAAAGGTAGAAGCCACACAAATGAAAAAAAATTGAGTATGTGTCTTTCCCAATGGGAAATAAGAGAAGTAAGCAAAACAGGAGTAACAGAAGCCTGAGCCCTGATGCTTTGGTAAAATCACTTCTATTTTGGATGGGACTGTGTTTTCTAAGTATACTGCTGTTGGCCTTTTCCATAGCTTTGCTGATTTTGTAACCTTCTACTGGAGGCTTCAGATAGTTGTCTTGAGTAACATAATTTAAAAGAGACAATATCTATTCTTGTAAAACATTACTAGAATGAAATTACACATTATTGAACTCCTTTATCAGAAAACATATTTTTACATAAAGTACAGGGTTTTTTTAGATTATGATAGAAAAAAATGAGTTATTTTTAATATGCTGATCAATTTGTATGGAGACTATGAGTGTCTTCCCATGCTTCTGAGAAGGCCTACCCTGAATACAGGAATGGGGTGTAAGATTGAGTGAATACATTATCTTTGAAATGCTATACATAATAATAATCTTGAGAAACACTTGTACATTATAATTATGTGCTATTTAGAGTCTTTATCTAGGTAGAAAGACACAGTGAGGAACTATAGAAAGGAATGTTATCTTCAGTGTAAGATCTTCATTTCATTTCATTCATCCTCTCACTGATGTAATTTTGATCACCTCTCAGAACCTTGATTTTGTTGGAGCTTTTTATATAATATCTCCTTACCAAATCTGGATTTTTAAATTTTTTTTTTACTAAGATGATATTTACTATTTAAACAGTCTGTAAACTTCTCAGATGAAATTAATCAACTGAGATTCTTCTGGAATTTTAAATGTGGTCCCTATGGCAATAAATATGTTTCACTGTTGATTTTGATTTACAAGTAATAAAACAGATATTTATTTCATCTACAAATTGATCATGACAGCCAAACTCTACAACATGGCATTTTGCATTTTGGTGCTGTCCTATGACTCTCCTGAATGAAAAACTTATCACATATGATAGAATTTCTAAGATGTTAATGTCTTTGCTATATAAGATTGCATTGAAATATAGTGTTGTGCAGACCAGGGCACAAAACAGCTTGGATTAAATGTCTGGGAAATTAAATCCCTTTGGATGACTGTCAGGACTAGTCTGCCTCCATTATCCCAAGACACAAGCTGGCACATTACCATTTTTATACACAGTTAAATACCCAGACTCTGATTTCATTAATCATTCAGTTTATCAATTCATGCAAATTTATCAGGGAGAGGGCATTCCCTGTCTTCACATGAAATCCTATTTCCTAAAATACTATAGCTGTATTACATAATATAAATAAATGTCTGACATTTTAGCAATAATAATAGCACTTGAATCAAGGTTATTTTCCCCTCAGTTCCCCTTTAGCCTGCATACATGTTAATTTTTGCAACTCCTACTCCTCTAACAGAATTACAGAAGCTTTCTTAGACCAAAATAGAGGAAAAGTAAACAATATTTTTTTTTTTTTTTAGTACTTCACCCCACTTCAGTCACAGGTAGCTCCAGAAGTGCAGATCTTTATCCTCATCACATTCCAAAGAAAAAGTTGTATTTCCTTATAAGCCAAACAAACAAACAAAAAAAAAAAAACAACCCCAAACAACAGTATCTGCAGAATAATAAGCTGGATCAGTTTCCAAAAGATGATGCCAGAGGATTAGAACCTCCTGCCTTGCAAAATGGATCTATTTTCATAACATTGGAGACCCCGCCTGTCTCAAGCCAAGACCATGATCACACCACCCCCTCTGTAAAGTGACTCAGCACCAGTGGTCAACTCAGCAATACTTGCTCTTCCTTCAGAATAAAACTAAGCTCTGAACTTTTCCAGCTGAGTCATTTCCAGGCTCATATTTATAACACAAACTGTGATTCATTCCCAATTTGTCTCGTCTTGGATTTCATGCCAGGACCAACTGGAAGAGATATGCCCTTCCACTCTTCCAGGATGTATTGCAAGGAGCTGGAAAGAATTTTGGTGTTCTGTGTAAGCACCATGTTAATACACAGTGCTGATACTGTGTCGCTGTGGTGGCATTATAATATTTTCCATTATTAGCAGATTAAATAACTTTTACACTATTTCAGGCAAAATTTTAAAGCATGGACTTATTTTCATTTGCAATCTTTCTGGAAAAAAAAAAGTAGAAGCAAGTTATCTCTACAAAATTAGGTCATTGCAGGTATAGGTCTTTTATAAGTAGAATCAGGTACTTCAATATTTAAATTTAAAGGGAAAAATACTTACAGATAATGGGCATCATCTATCAAGGTATTTTCTGAGATCTCTTTCCTTATAGCCAAACTAATATCCAGACTTGGGAAGAAACAGTGAAATGTTAACTATATACCAGATTTGGTGTACATTTTTTATTTTAAAACCATTTCCTGTAAAGGAAAGTTGTGTAAAACCCAAATCTGTACTTTGACTAAGGTTATTTCTTTTGATTTTCAGGAAACTAGATCCTGAAATTATGCTAAGATGCTAATCATTAAAAAAAAACATTTCTTTTAAAGACAAATTTAGATGATACACACTGTTATCCTAGTATGTATCTGCCATTATTAAGCAGAACATAATGTCACTATTTAGGAAAGCAAGGCAAACAGGATGTGGTCCTAGATGTGAGTACAATATTGATCCTGGATTCTGCCTATCTTAACAGGGAAAGGCTTTTGTATGCAGTCACTAAAAAGAGCTCAGAGCAGCGAGGTATGAAAATGTGTGATTTTGCTATCACTGGATGTGCACACTGATAGCATTCTCCCTTGACACTTTTTTTCCAGTTTACTGGATGTCCTCTCCCACTAAGTTTAGATTTTTTCACCTAGTTATCTCCACTGCCTTTTGAACATTTCCTTCTGTATCACCTAGCTCAGCTAATTGCTTCATGACTTCCCTTCTAATCCAATTTTTTCTCATCTGTTATTCTTTTCTAAATCCTGGCACAATATAATCTTTTTTTTTCAGATTAATTTCCATGCTACTATGTGAGACTATCCCCATCCTTCAGCATCATAGAAACATCACAGAACAGGTCCTTTTCCTGCAGCTTGGCAGTAGAACATTAGAACTCCAGGAATTCATTAATGTTAACAGTTAAATTAAATAAAGGTGTTTTTAAAACTAATTAATTAATTTTGAAAAAGGAAAAAAGTCAGTTTGCAGATAAAGCTTTCCTTACCAAATGCCATTAAGAGCATTGCGTTCTATCACCAGATATTTTTCTCACATAAACGTGACTGTCAGTCCCTTGGTTGATATGTAAAGTAATTATATCAAACCTGCCAGGGTAAATCATTTTTATTCATAGAGAGTAATACTCAAGCAAGTTTTCTGCTTAAACATGATGCAGAAACATTTTGTAAAACATCTTGTAGCAACCTACACAAAAAAAATCAGTGATGGAGCCCTAATTTTGAGCTAAGAATCATGCAGTCCCACTGAAGTCTCTCTTGGCCTGGACTGAGAGATGCAGGGTTTGCTGAAGATAAAGATATACCCCTTTAAAATAAACAAGCACTTGAAGTAGTTGAATATTACTAGTTTTAAAATATCTGAGCCTTGTATATCCCCAGGGTCTCTTTGTTTGCATCTCCTTAAACAATAAAAGCCATTATTAAGAACATGAATAATGTGGCATGCTATCATATTAGGATATAATTAAAAACAAGACAGCAAAGCCTTAAAGCTGTGCTGAACATACCACATATATTGCAGTCTTCTACATTTGTTCTGAATTAAAATTCTGCTTCTTTCCTGAAACCTCTCATCTGCTCCTCACACAGCAGCTAGTGCCTATTTGAAAAAATATTCACTTTTGGCAGAACAGCTGTACCATTAGCTCTGGACTGGGGGAGTGGGGGAAACCAATCTACATGCTTCCCCAAGCACCCTTTCTCTCTGGCTGTTGGGGAGGGCTTAGGGAGCCACGGGAGCAGGAAAACTTCACTCCTCACAGAGCATCTCGTCATGTGGCCAGGCTGACAGATCACCAAACACCCAGCCCCACAGTCTATCCCCTGGAGGCAGCACATCTACCCCCTCTTTTCCCAAGGTACCAGCTTCCACTCTACAGCAGTCCCATGGGGGCCTCTTCCACAGCAAAAGGACTGAATCTGCAGCTGTGATCATAGCCAGGACTTCTTCAGGACCATTCAGACTTGTATAAAACGAAATTAAGGCACCCACACATTCTTCCACCGAGCACTCCATTCTCAGAGCCAGCTTTCTCTCACTAAGCTATTTACCTAACCTCAAATACCGTGCTAAAAGCCAAGAACATGGTGGCAGGTGACCTAATTGTACTCAGCTATCAGTTTACTCAGATCCAGGAGTGATGCCAGGCAAACACAGACTGCTGTAGGAACCAGTGCTTTGTGACAGCTCCTCTTCCCACCTTCCCTGCTGCTGCAGCTGGTTGGCATCACAGAGAAAAGCAAGCAGAAGGCTCTCAACCTGCCTAAAGCCTCTGCAAGTGGTCAGTGTGCTCTGCCGATTGATTTTAACTCACAATTCCTCTCTTCCTTGAAGAGTAACCAGGCTAGGTCCCTTAAGCACTGCCCATAATGCCAACCTAAACCTCTTCAACTCCATAACCTCCTCAGACTTGTCAGACTGTGAAGAAATCACCAGGACTTTGTGGCCAGGGAGAATGGAGGCCCTCGAGGGCAAGAAGGAGCTCTAAGAAGTATTCAGATAACAACCTGGGGGCTGCATTTCTTCAGCCAGAGGTCAGAAGAGTTCAGAGGCTTTGGGGATGACCAACAAAACTATTAGTTGCAGATATTCCAGAAATATGTCTGGAAAAGGTCTTCCCAGGCCTGCTCAGGACCATTGCTAAAGCCAGCTGTGGACTCATACCAGACCTGAAACACTGGAAACCTGCTGAACAAGGATGGCAGCTATAAACAGTGTAGGTTCTTTGGTGTCTGGCTTTGCTTTTGTGGTTTTGTCTGAAGAGGTGAGTGAGCTGGTGTTGTCCCAGCTGAAGTGGCTCAGCACACAAACCTTTAACCAGTCTGAAGGCTAATCCAGCAAAATACAATGACCTATTGCTCCCTTGGGCAGGATTAAGAGCTGTTTAAAATGAAATATACTTGGGGGAGAGATATGGGTGATACTGGGGACCCCCAACTGAGGGGTTTCTAATGCCTTTCCTTGTGTTCATGGGCTTTTCTGTTTTATTGCCCAGGCAGTGAAACTCTAGCTCTTGATTGCCCAAAATTCAGCTAGAAGATCAGACTTCAGCCAGGAGCTTTGAGCGACTCCATAAGGAATATCAACAGGGACAAAGCCTTCCCCCTCACACACTATGACCTCTACCAGTGAGAAGAGGTTTGGTAGGGGGAAGTGGTTGGTTTGACTTGGGGGGTGAATTTTGTTCTTTTTCAGCCATCAAAGCATTAGACTTCTCAGGAATAAAACACATGGTAAACCGACAAATTTGTTCAATCTCCTGACACACTGTCCTTAGCATGACCAGCAGCTCAGAAGATTTCAGATCTGTCAACCCGTGCCATGGCCCTACCTTATGAAGCAGAGATGCCGTGTCACAGCAGTATATTCTTACCCAAGGGTCCAGTAGAAACATGCCACGTTGCCCATTCAAGCAGAGAGCAAGGCCTGGTTTCAGATACAACTTTTCAGATAAAACTTTTCAGATGTGGGTAGAGCCAGTTGTGACAGAATAGTAAAACTGAAAAGACAAGCTCTTGATGAAGCTTTTTCCGAAGTCTAGAGTGCTGCTATGGAGACCATCCTTGAAAGCAGGCTCAGTGCCTGTTTTGCAGAGCTTTCAAGTTTTACCACAGGGAAGGAAAGTGATCTTTAGATTTTGCCCTGTTGCCTGATCTATTGCTCTATGTCTTGTTCCTGCCTCACCAGGGCAACAACTTCTTATTATCTGTATTGTTTCAGCTAATTATTCCATTAATGATTCAGCTAATATAGTTTAATACAGGAAGTGTAGATGTCACATCATTAAACAATTATTTACGTATTCTAGACCTTTACCATAATCCAACTTGAGATTTGTTAATTTATTTCTCCTCTGGTGTTTATGAGGTATGACATCCTGCAAGCAACTAATTCTGGGTCTCTGTTCTCTTTGAGATTTAATCAGCGTTTGAGACTTACTTCTGGTATTATGCCAGGATAACTAGAAAGCAAGAACAAGCAAGCTTTCCAGCATTTGGCAGCTCCTTTAAAACAAGTAGAATTTTAGCAGTTGATGTGAAACCCATAAAAACCTTTCAAAATCTAGCAGTTCTTTCTCACATCAAAAAAAAAAAAAAAAGAAAAACCAAATTAAAAAATAAACCTCTTGCTTATACAAGCTTGATTGAAACAGTGCTTAAAAATTCATTAAAAAACTACACAATCATATTCTAGTTTGTCTCAAATAAAACGAAAGCTAAGTAAATTTAATTGCCCTTCATTAAAAAGCTACACAATCTTATTCTAGTTTGTCTCAAATAAAAGGACAGCTAAGTAAATCTAATTGCCCTCAGTAGCACAATGTAACCGTGGGTCAGTGTGACCTGGATAGCTTAAAATACAGATCCAGGGAAAACACAACCAGAGATTCCCTTGGCTGAGAAAAAGAGCTTTTCATCTTGCATCTCCAGGTAACCAAGGCCATGTAAGGGTTGTGGATGATGTGGTAGAGAGACTGACTTCATCATTCATGTTTTCTTATCTCTTTTATTAGTCACCTTAATTAGCACCAAGCTGAATAGCACCTTAGACTGAAATCTATGTATGACTCAATTCAGTTATTTACAAGACAATTGCTAATTAACTAATGTAGCTCATTTAGCAATAGACACCTGCGAGGAGAGGTTGCTAACATTTTACAATGAAAGGGTCTTTTAAATTTGAGGGGAAAACCAAATAAAAGTGAAAACCAAGAAGAAACATCAAGGAAGATACATGACTTAGGGAGACACAAATCTTCCAAGTGAAGCCAAGCAACAGTGAGTGCATATTTTATGTTATTATCTGGTTGAGCTTCTACTAAGAGGACTGGCCTTCATACTCCAACCTTAAATCATTAGATCCTTTACCTGGCAGTAGAGAAGAATTCATTTGAGTATAAAAGCTCACAGAGCCATTCTGCTCCTTTGAACCTCCACACAAAAATTGTTAATTAACAGGCCTCCTAGCTAGATCTTCCCATATTTGTACCTGCATCTCCAGGTTTGGTCTAGCTACATGACATGTTATATGTCTTGGTCCACTTTATCCCCCTTGGGAATAAAGCTAAATAGGGCAAAGGTAGCAAGGAACCCTCAAGGGGCCAAGCACCATGTTGTCATACAAAAAGGGACTAAAGGGCTCAAGTGTGGAAGGTGTGAGGAGAAGCTGGAAGGGTACAAACAGTTTTGAAACTCTAGGCATTAGAGAGGCCATGAGAGGAAGAGGGAGAACAGATGGGGAGTGCTGGGTTAGGAATAATGGCAGTGGCAGGGACACACCTCTGTGGAGGAGGGAAAATCATGGTGGTGGATCATGTGCAGGATCCGAAGTTGTCCTAGTGGAGATAGTGGAGGGAAAGGGAAGATACTGAACCATCAAAGAGGAAAGCAAAACAGATCCAGAAACAGGCACAGGAAGAGACAAGACAGTTAAAAGCTATGATTGAGGTGGGGCTGTGGTATGAGTAAGTGGTTGGTTGAACAAGAAAAAAAGTTTGAAAAATAGTAAAGGTGGAGCCCTAGGAGAGCCCTCTGTAACTGACAAAGCATCATCCTGCCTGCAAGGAAGCAGAGACATAAGTCAAAGCCTCCCAGTGAGCTCTTCTGTTCTATTCCTATGAAATAGAAGGCATTTGATCTTCACATAAAAGCTTCACCTAAGTTTGATAGTTGCAATTCTGGATAATTATGTCTCAGACATCTGGCCAAGAAAAAATAAGTGGATTTGGCATAAGCAGGAAAAAAAAGAGGGCCTGTAAATGTGCTCGACTTGCTTATTCATTCCAGGTAATATACTAAGGAACAGGACTTCAGTGGATCATTTCAAGATCCATTGTAAGGGAGTAAGCATTAAAATATCAGAGGTACAATCAGGGTATTATACAGCTGCAACATAAAAATTGTAGACACAGATAAAAGTCACACAAAATCACACAAAGTGCTATTTTACTATGCAATTGTAACTGGTCAGATGCACTAGGGCATGACAGTAGATGACAGTAATCAAGGCTCACTGAAAGCAATTACAATTACAGGATAAGAAAATATGCAAAAGCACATTTAAACCTGAGCCAAATTCAGCATGAAGCAGAAAGCCTTTTACAGTTATCGTATGCAAAGAACAGAATAAATAAGTTAGCACTCAAGAGCACAGAAACTTTTCATTTTGTTTCCAAAAAAAACTCAGCAGAACCCAACCGTTTTCCAAAACAGGAATTTAATGCTAATTACCAGTGTGAAAGTGAGACTACAAAGTAGGTACTTTATTCCTATGAGCAATCTAATATGCCACCAAACTCTTTTTTTAAACTGGATTTACCTGGCTCAGTGTGAAACAACACATACATTTCATTACTTGCTGTGCTTTATTTGCTTATCAACACGGCCATGAATGAGACTAGAATGTCGGCCCACTTCATTCTAGCACCTGCCCAAACCTCTGCAGCCAACCCTTCTGCATCCTATCACTTGCTAAAACACCAAATGCACAAGCACAGCAGTCACAGGGGAGCTGAGAGAGGTACAGGTATCTGGGTTCTTTGTTAGCACAATGCAAACACCCAACATACATGACTCAGTTGTGTTTGCAAATCCTCTCTTCACACCCACCTCTGGGTCAGATGTGTCTGTCCCAAACAGTCTTTCCTAGATAATATATCAAACATAACCCTTTTTTCTTTAAGGGGAAGAAAACTGCTTTTCTGATCCAAGGCATTTCTTTGAACTGGAGCTGATCTATTCCTTTATAGCTGCAAAAGTCTTTCCCAACCTTAAAATTCACCAGGGATTTATTTGTATGGGCATTTTAAGGCATAATATTAGATCACAATAACTATCTTGATCTAACAAACACCTTCTAAAAGCTTGGACAAAAACAAAAACCAAATTTTACTTCTTACTGAAATGGCTTGTTTGAAGTTTTGCTTCCCCTCCATAGTTTCAGAAGGCTATTATCCTCACTTTGTTTTAATTAGAGCTTCAAACCAGCACTATTTATGCTGAGCAAGCCGGGTCTGGTCCAGCTGGGCCACATTTAGCACACGGGTTGTTCCCATTGCACTGGGATAGGCAGTATTGCCTTGCCTGATGGGCTGGAAGCAATGATCAGGGATCTGCTGCACTTTGAGAAGGCAATGGCAGCTCCTTGCCTGCTCATGCTCTTCACTGCTCAGCCTCATCTGCAGCAGCAGCGGCAGCTTTGGGCTAGAGCCTCACTGTCTGTGCTCCTCAGAGGATGGTTGCTGCACCTGTAAACCCCAGTAGTGCAGAGCTGGGAGAATTAGCAGCAGCGGAACAGCAGCCCCACAGCACATCATATCTGATGATAGTATGGGTCTGTGTGCTCTTCTGCCAAGGATGAGACAAAAATCAGACATCCTGCAAGTGAGGTATTGCAAATCCCTCTGAAGGCCCTGCAGCACTTCTCCTTTCTTCTCTGGCTTGCAAACTTAGAGGGACCGGAGCACTTCATGCCTTCATATCCTGTATTCCTGTGTCAGCCCATGAGCATTCCCTGAAGTCACCATGCTGCCTGCAGCAACAAAGTGCTGCAGAGACCATCTGGGACACTTACAACCCCTGTTACTCTAAACTTTAGGCTAAATAGTTTAAAACTGCTTCTCTATCCTCCAAAAATACTAAATACACCAAAGAGCTCCAGAAACCATCCCTAGAAGAAGCAGCCTGTCTGCTCTCCAGCAGTGTAAATCTTGACCTGAATCCTGCCTTGCAAGTGTTCATGCCTATGGAAATTGCGTGTTGTGTAGATTACATAAATTTGCCTGAGGGGTGGCCTGTCTGAAATACAGCAAGAATGTCTAAGTGCTAGTGGTAAATCTTCTGTAGCACACTTTGTTCCACCCAATTTTTTTTTAAAGTGGCTTGAATCCTTTGACAATTTAAAAAGGACACACAAAGCATAACCTTATGAGCATCTTCACTCAGACTGCTGCAATTTAATGATTTATTAAATAATAATAATGTGGCAAAGCAGTCTCAGTTTTCCTAGGTTCATTTTTACCATGTTCTGCAGTCTTCCCACTGCAGGTTGTGAACTCTTTGGCTCTCACAGGGTAATCATGAACAGGTTGAGCTCGCATTTGGATAGGAGATCCACAGGGAGGCCATAGTAGTCATGTAGATTATCCAATTACAGGAAGAACACTTTTCTCTTTGTATTTGTAAGAGTTCTCCCACATATCTTGAGAGACAGCTCTGCTTCTCAGATAAAGATTATCAAGAAGCTGTAGGCCTTCATGTTTTCAATTTTGTGGCTCCACTATTTTTTTTTTTCCTGTGGAGGTGTACAGCTCCCTGTAATGAATGGAAACCTAAAGACAAAAGTCTTGCTAGGTCAGCTTTATAGTTATGTTAGCATTCCATAAAAACAAAGGTATTTCTGGATTGGAAGGTCCTCCCAGAAAATGACCTTTTCAAGCCACTTGTGTTTGTCAGCCTTCTTTTCAGTCTTGGCACCTGATTCAAATCCAGCTGCTGAAGACTACACCTTAAAAATATAAGCTTCAGGAGCTGTCGATAAAATCCTGGGTTCTTTTCCCTCATCATGTATGGGATAGGATAGTATTGTTAAGTCAAATTAAACTACTGCTGTTTATTTCCCAAAGTAGATCCCTAGCACATGTTGCCTTTCAACCATCAGGACTGCCATTACTGAGAGTTCAGAATCAAAAGCACTAGAAGGAGGAAAAATGCAGATTCCAAATGGTTCCCCTGTTCAAGGTTTCTGTTCACCTGATGGAAACCTGCAGAGACAGAAGGTAGGTAAAAAGTATTGGGCCGCTTCTACTCTCTTCCCCAGGGTTACCTGGCTACCAGGATGGGCCTCTGAACAAGTAATAACTCTGCCAACTGGCTTCCTCATTGCTTGAGAATGTAGCTCTAGTTTACACCAGCTTCTTATAACAGGCCAGAAGGTAGAAATAAACTGTAATGCAAATGTATATTGGTCACAGTCTTTCTTCCAAAGCCAAAATTCTTACACCAGTAACCAAGAAAAAGGAATAAAGTAGATGCCACAATGGAAGACAAGAATCTACCAGGTAGATTGCCTCTTTTAGGGTTGCTTTATTGTAAAAGAGCAGAGAAAATCAGACCCAGCAGAATACAGAATGAGAACCCATTCATT